GTTAATCAAGGTGAACAAATTTTGATGATAAAAAGAAAACATTTTAAAATACACTTTTAAATACACAGATTGCTATAAAAGATACCATTATCAGCTGTTTTATTAACTAAAGCTACAAAAAGGCATTGACGATAACATGGGTATTTTAAAGGGCTGTAGGGCAGAAACTGGATTTTCCCTAGCCTTATGACCAATTCCAATCGATTTCTCGTGGCCAACTACCTCATAATAAACAAAAAATTAAAAACCCTTGGACAAAAATAAAAGTTTGTCCGTACAAGCGCTTATTTTAGATTATAGGATTTGGGAACCTGAATATTAAGAAATAATTAAAGTTAAACTTTGCAGTTACTAGAGTATAATTTTATAAATGAATTGGTATAAATAATTGGTACCATAATTTTGATCAATAATGTGGAAGTTTAATTTGTGTTTTCACAAATCAACTACCCGTACGGTACCGTTTGATTACACAACTTAAAATTACAACTTTACACGGTATGCACTTACAATGATATAAGTTTGACCCCAGAAGCATAATCAAAGTTCATTGATTACATAACCCTGCAATGCAAGACTAAACAAATCTACAGACAGATAACCTCTAAGTGGGTTAATTTTCATGAAAAAAGTCATTATGGGAAAAAAAACATCAAAAAAAAGTTTTCATTGCCGGTATCCGATAACTTCTGTGCTTCTATGAGTTTCATTGTCAGTTCTTCAAATCAAAATATTTTGAAGTTTAAGTTTAGTTCAACAGTATCAAGATACGGGATAGTATTTTCAACGGTGGTAGGCCTACTGACATCCAAATTTAATTTAACTTTACTTATATTGTTATCAAAAAAATCTTAAGATTTAAGATTAAATTAGCCTACCAAATGAAAAAATTGTTTAGTCCTGACCTTAAAAAAACAAACAAAAAGTAAGTTAAAAATAATACCAAGAAAATACACAATGGATGGACTATACTCACAATATGTTGATATTTTTAGGGAAAGAAATACAAAAACTGAATACTTAAACTACGATATTCTTGAGTATGGCAGATTGCGTGAAAATATTACAATAATATAGGCCTAACTTATATGGTTCTTACCGTCAACGCAATCAGGGGTGATATTCCACTATGGCCGTTTCGGAGATAACTCCATCGTCAGGTGCGTAGTGGTACACTAAACTATAGTCTTGTCACATTTAACAAAAAAAAATCTTCATTTGCATTGCGTCATGTGGGGGGACAGGGGTCTAGACTTTACCTCAGCCCAGTCACGATCAATTGTCAATGTCCCTTCATGTTTATCGTGTTTTTTGTAATGTGTGCCCGTTCCGTGTCTCGTGTTTTGTAGGTATATGTTTTATTTATTGAACTCTGTTTGTTAACGACCTTCGAATGAAGTGATCACTTGACACCTTGAGGCCTGAAGATGGTTCAAAATAAGAACCGAAACTAGTTGCCTAAATCAGCAACAAAGGATTGCTATTGCAGGTGTTGTTTAAACATGTGAGAAGGTATTTGTAAGTATAATAGGCCTACAGTAGGCCTAATCCGGAGGCTAAACAACTATTAAAAAAAATTTAATTTATTCTCGTAAAATACAAGTAATAGAGGCTATGCCACTGCCACTTCAATAACAACATGATTGTCTTCATTTCAACCCTCAACGTCTGTTAACTAATTAAGTTAATGTTGCCAAGGTACATAATCCGACATTGCATAATCCCACAGAGCATAAAAGTGAAAGCGTGCCACAGTGCATAATTTCATGTAGACTATAAGCAACTAATAAATAATATGTGCAATTAAGGAAACCCTAAAAATGAGAGATTCCATGGTTGTAGACTAACAATATTTTCTTTAGCCCTAATACTGCAGTAAAGTAGTAATCATTGAAACCCTTTTATATTACATTAAGCTCAGCTAATCTAATCTAATCTAATCCAGGAACCTAACCTAAGTTTAACCCAACCTCACTCTTAATTTTCAAAATTGCATTTGATAACAGAAAAGACATGTGAGGAAGATAGGTTAGACTTTATGTGGGTTCATGACTGTATTAAGTTCTTTAAAGATAGGTTAGATTAGGTAAGTTAAAGTTTAGGTTATAATGAACCGACTCATTAATTTACGTTACGTGCAGTCTGTTTAAGTGGGTGAAACAAAATAACTTAAATAGCACTGCAAGCAATTTTGATATTGTTTATTTCATTGCATTTCACCAACTAATTTCAATTGTACAAAAACAGTCTGGAGGTAGCACATAAATTAATGAGTCGGTTCATATAACCTAAACTTTACCTACTTTCCTAATCTAAAATAACTTCACTAAAAACACTAAATACAGTCACGAATCCACATAAAAACCGACCTACCTTCCCCACATGCCTATAAGAGCCTATTATTTAGTTTAAAAACTAATTGATTGTATTCCGCATTAACACACTCACTCCTGGGTGTCTCGTGACTCTACATACAGAGGAGTGTGACGGCCGGTACTGAACCTGTTGAGGCTCTCCTTACTCAGTCCTCAGCCCACATACGGGCCCAGCCAACCGTCACCAGACTACGCCATAATACCATCAGTACCGCTAAATGAACCTTAGATTCGTAATTTTAACCTACGTTTTATAGCCACTTAACTTAGGAATCTCTCCAACAAAAACCGATTGCATTTTTGGATTCAGCGTGAAAAAAACTGTAGGCTAAGTAAATTAAGTTAGACATATAAAAATTATATCACATCCCAATGCAGACACACTAAATAATTGCCAATCAATCAATAAATGTGACTTAGGCTATTACCGGTAACTTTAATTTTAAAGTGTAAATAGGCCTAAACTTATTGCTGTGCAGATCAACATTCCTAATAGAACATTAAAATACAATTTAAATGATCGTTGTTTATTATTAAGGCTAAAGTAGCCTTAAAATACAAGAACATCCTAATTGAATTCAGAAGAAACGAGAAGGTTGTCTTGTGAAACGTAACGTAAGATATATTGGCTCTTCAGAGGCTAACTTCAAATAATGAATTTCCATAATCATAGATGGATATCCGTGATAACTGGTCTATTAAGGGTTTTCACAATCACTTTAAAAGACTTTTATAAATTCCTATCATGGATGAATTTAGCTTATAATAGGCCTACAAGAGGAATTCCTACGGGTTAGGCTAAATAAAATAACAGAATGCAGTTGATTGACTAATAATGTTATTGACTCATTATAAACATTAAATACACTAAACAAATACTTGAAACCAATCTAAATATTTATAGAAAAAACTTATATAACCTTGTGAAATTCAAGGAACAGAAAAGCTTAAGCTGACCAGGTGCCTTAATAACCGACATTACATAATCGGTGAAATAAAATAACAAGGACAGTTATAAAACAAGAAACCAAATTTCTACCTATAATTATTATTTTTTCTTAGAATATATAGCTTAGATATTTACCACGCTAGCAAAAGCAGAATTCTTCCCCAGGACACTGCACAATTTCAAAATTCCTGCCATGGTAAGAGTACTAACACTAAGGTCAGTCAGTCGCCTAATCGCTCCTCTCCTCCTGATGGCGAATTGGTTTGGTAGGGAAGGGAAAGTGAACTAGAAAGACGACAGCCGACAGGAACAGCTGATTGACATTTAGATTGTTTTTGTTGTGCTTCACGTGCTTCAGGATACCAACAAAATAAAATGTATTCAACCAAATTGACAATACAATCAACTCTATATATATATAATCCAATGTATGTTTGTTTGTTTGTTTGTCCTTTATGGACTCCAAAACCGCTTGACAGATTGTAATGAAACTTTCAGGCATTATTAAGCATTATTCAAGGATGGTTTGTGTGAAGTTTGGTGCAGATCCGTCAAAAGGGCTCCGCCCCAGTGGAGTGGCTCTGGAGTTTCCCATGTTAACCTTATGAGTACTCATATTTAAAGGGAATCAAAGAATCTTATTAGCTGGTTCAACCATAGACAAAAAGAACTGTCAGCCGTGCTGCGGTTGCCATGGTTACCATAGGTTCCGGTGGACACCGCTGTAGTTTACGTAGCGCGTACGCCGTAACTACCGTGATGCTCCAAGCGGTGTGCGCCAGAACCTATGGTAACCGCAGCACAGCTGACGGTCTACAACAACTAATTTGCAACTAAAAGGTGAGTGAGCGTAGCGAACGAACTTCAACCTGGAGGCGAGTTAGCGTAGCGAACGAGCTAAGCTGAAGGCAAGTGAGCGCAGCAAACGAGCTCCAACCTAAAGGTGAGTGAGCGTAGCGATCGAACTTCTACCAGGACGTGATTGAGCCATGCGAACGAGCTCATCTTTGAAAATGAATGAGCTTTTGACATAAAACCACATTAGGACAGGACGACGTCTGTCGGGCCAGCTAGTAGTGTATATTTTATGGCTCGTAATACATAATTACACGAATCCTAGAAAAATACTGGTTTGGATCATAAACATAAACAAATGACGTTGTTGGCCCGAATCCTATACTAATAGCATTGAACATATGTTTTTGCAGTTCCATTTAAGCAATGTTAAATAATGTTTATTTTGGGGGCATAAACGTCATTTGTTTATGTATGATCCATACCGGTATTTTTCTAGTAATCGTGCATAATTACAAATACAGCTTGAAACTGTCAAAGCTGAGTCCGTAGTATGAATTGGGAAGTTCTGAGGTTTTCTTTTCAATGTCTATCAACATTAGAAGGAAATGTGACAAAAATCACACATCGTTGTGTTTTTGGACATTATTTGTAATTTTAAAGGTTTCATTACAATCTGTCGAGCGGTTTTGGAGTCCATAAAGGACAAACATACAAATAACAAACATACAAATATACAAACATACAAACATACATTGGATTTTAGAATATTAAACTCAGCAAAGAAGATGAGGTTATGGGGATTTCATATGGTGACGATACACCACAATCAACTGTTTTCTGTTAAGTTGTCTAAACTGAAAGTTGCGTCAGATTTGCCTGTAATTTGGTCTGCGCGTGCAAATCATAGTTTTTTGTTCCGGAAGAGGTCTTTTGAGCTTTCTGCTGTGCTCGCTTGCGGTTCGGTCGTAATCGCTAAGGTCAATCTTTTTGACAAGGTAAGTTGCCTCCCATTACCATCGATTATGTTAAAATCACTTTATAATAATTCTATAAAAGGAGTTAACATTAACATTTTAGTTAATAGAATTTTTATTACGCAATCCAATCCATTTCCACGTAATTTTCTATGTCTTGAGGTAGGTAGGTGGGCCTACATGCAATTTAACCCTATTGATTTTTTTAGAAAGACTAAACAAATTTGGTGTAAAGTTTAACATTAGTTCATGGTCTTATATTTTGTTGTTTCGTTATGATAAACCTGCAAAATAGTTATACGCAAAGTTAATTATTTGCCAAGGTCAAATGATGAAATTGGGGTCACAAGTTCACATGTTTAACCTTGACACATTTTTGCCCTATTTTACCTCCAAAATATAATAAATAATTAATTAATTATTAATTTATTGGATATTGCGATCTCAGGCTAATACCTTGTATTGTAACTTAGTTGCATAATCAACGAGCAAACTAAGAATAACAGGCCTATCTTGTTTTAAGAGGGATTTCAAGGTTAACTTAGTCTTTAAGAACTTACTTTTTTGGGTACAGTTTCGCAGAAAAACTACGACATATTATCTGATGAAGTATTAGTTTGATATAAATAACTTATCATATTGCATTATACTGGGTACCGGTACACTTTCATATCTGTTGGATCTAAAAACCGAATGAGTAATATTGATTATTCGATTGTTTAATTCGATATATTGTTTGGTTAGTTAGGTTAGTGAGCCAAAAAACAAAAACACAAAAAATACATACCATACATCTTGCAGTTAATTAGTAGTTAGGTATTGACCTTACCTAACTAACTAACCAAACGATATATCGAATAATCGATCGATATTTCCATTCGGTTGTTTGTGCCAGTGCCATCAGATATGGAAGTGTAGACCTACCCCATATACTTTTTATAAGATGTAGGCTAATTAAAGACTTAACGGTATCTATTGAATAACTTACTGGTTATTCAGTCATGTTTGTATATTTTCAGCCATAAGAATAAGCCTCTAACTCAACAGGGTCTTTTCAAGAAGACTCTTCACGGTGGTTACGTTATTTTGGTTTATTTGAATTTAGCCTGGTTTATTAACTTAGTTCATAAGTTAATAACAAGCGAGAAAAACCATTTATAATTTCAAAGAGAAAAATTTATAACTTAAAGATGTCAGTTTAATTCTTTTTGTGTTTACTTTTTTATGATTTTAGATAGGCTGAAAGTTTTATTTTTTAAATGGTACAGTACTCTAGTACCTTGTTTGTGATTATCATAAGTTAAACTGGGCCTAAACTGAATGAAATTTAACTTAACCAAACGTAAACGTCACAGCGCTCTGTTAAAGAGTGGCAGACAACTCTTTTTGTGAAAAACCGATAACATAAATTCAATTTTTATATCAATGAAAATTTTATCGATATTTAAGTAGCTTATATCTAACCAATATTTCATTCTATTGTATTTGCATACCTATTTTATTTGTAACTGTAGGCCTTATGCCTTATTTAAGATTAGGGCTTATATAACTTAAAAAGCCTTGCCAATCCTGCTTAGGTACCATCTATTATACTTGTTCCACTAAATTCATTAGAAAGATAAATTTATTCGATCATTAGGCCTAAACATCATACAATCATGCAATAGATCATGTCAATAATCAAGCTAACTTACAGCTATAAAAGGTTTACATTCAAGATGTTTAAAATAAGTTACATTGCTTAATAAATAATACAGGCAGGCTTACTCAATAATAGTCTATATGCATTATAAACGTGAGTATAAAAAATAAGTTAGATCACAGTTAAGCATAGCTTATAATATTTTGGCCCATGAAGACTAAGATATTAATAGGCCTACCTAGTTAAAATTACTTGCATACCAAAGTTAATACTTTATTTACTGGTTTGTACTAAGTTAGTAGGCCCCCTAATCACATGTTTAAAATGGAGATTAGCTTTGTTATAAATCAACGTAAACTTATTTGTTCCTAGCCCTGGTTTGATAGCGTTGCCATATCACCTATAGTACCATGATTGACCCAGTGGTGAATGAAATGAGTTGCGTTAATCAAAGCATCAGATTATTTCATTAACTGTGATTATTAACTGACTATAGTTCGGCCGCATAGAAAACGACCTGCGCGCTAATGGTAAACCAATGCTGGAGGAGGCCGCTTTCTAAGCGGTCGAACTATAAACCAGAATTTGCCAGCCACTCCTAACGCATATCTTTAATCACAGTTCATGAAGCTCTGCACTGTTCATGCATTAATGATTCACAATGATTCATGTTCATGGTTGTACAGTGAGCAAGCCCTGATTATAAACTAAAGTAAAATTATTTTACAGCCAAGTTTCCTCGCACTTGAAACAAAATGAGTGTACCGGCTGGAGATGCTGAGAAGGGAAAGAAGGTAACTTAATAATTCAAAATAACTAATCTAGTTATTAAATTAAGTAAAGATTCAATTTATAATTCAATTAAATGAGATAACAAAAATAAATTTTTTCATCGAGAAGTTAGGCCTATGGCAAATTTTATCTTGTCAAAATTTTATAAAAAATAATGGTCTCTAATGAAAATTAGCTTGCCTAAGTAAGTGTAATAGAAAATAATGATGATATTTTACGGATTATTCTTAGCATTATTTAAAAGTAAAAAACATTTTACCATCCACAATTGAACAAGCATTTAACTGCTTAATGATCTTTATTTCATCGCCTTTATTCTTTTTTATCAACCTATTGAAATGGGTTGACAATGACGTTTGCCCTTGTAATGTTATTTATTGACATGTATATGATAGAAATCTTGTGTGAAGGTCCAAGTTATCAATTTATTGCAGATGGCAGTCGATTTGTTTTTATCAAATGATTTAGGCCTATCTGCCAATTGACTGTTTCTCATAGCTATTGACCTATTATTGTTATCATTCTTTTTAACATTGGCACAATTCACTATTGTACAATAATTATTGTTATGCCTCTAAGCATCTAGGCTACAGTAAATGAAAATACACAATATTGCTTGTGTACAGTATACAACTTTTGTACATTCTATTTATTGTTATTTTTAGTGAAGGGACATTGTGAATGATATTGGTTTGTTACTGCTAGTTTTGATGTCCTGGTGTGTAGGTGTTTGTGCAAAAGTGTGCACAATGTCACACAGTCGAGAAGGGAGGAAAGCACAAGGTTGGACCTAACCTGAATGGCCTCATCGGCAGAAAGACAGGTCAAGCCGCTGGGTTCTCCTACACGGACGCCAACATCAGCAAAGGTCTGATCATTCTCCGCTACTCATATAATCATCTTAGAATTACCATAAAATATCTTAAACTGTTAAAAATAACAACATCACAAATATTTTATGAATACCAAGAGTTTTGTGATGTGTCTGATGATGCTGTTTAAAGGCCTCATGAAATTAAAAATTCATTGCATATTAATGTTTTTATTTTAAATTTGATTCAACCCAATATTACCAGTTCTTCTTGAAGATCTTTAACTGTGATGACTCATGCCTATACAGTGCTGTTAGAGTTTTAAGAGTCCTTGGAGCCTAGACGTTCTAACTCATAAAACAATTAAAAATTACCAAGCAAATTGCTAATCCCACAGTATACTAGATATTTAAATAACAATCACTTTGGTATTTAAAAAAATATTTTGAAGTGGTAAATAATTCTTCAGATTCTATTTAAAAAATTAAATTAATACATTTGAGTAATTGAACACTTTTACAGCAATACAAAATGTTTTAGCGAATTTCCCATATAGGGAATAAGCTATTACCGTAGTACTCATGGTAAGACCTGGACCCAGGACCGATTTACTTTTTCGTTTTGAGGTCCCTAGAGGCCAAAAACACCATCCGTTCAAATTCATATATATATATATATTTATATATGTGTCCGTTAGCGCGATAACTCGAGCAAAACTCACCCGATTTTGATGAAATTAGGTACAAACATGTAAACCCACGTTTATTCGAACGAGTTTGCGAACCAGCATGATCGGACTATGGGAACAGGTGTTTATGGGGGGTTTTATAGGGTAAAAATTGGTTTTTCCCATTTTTAACCCTAAAACTTAAAATTTAACATTTTCTTTCCTAACCATTTTGTAGAGCTTAAAAAAACAAATAATTTAGTATATTGAAGCGTTATTATGCGCCGAATGGTTACGGAGAAAATTCCAAAAAACTGTAAATTTATTATTCCCATGTTATTCTTATGGAGAATAAGTAAACTGTTGTAGTTTGCTTGTTTATGAACATATTTTGATCAAATTTGGAAAATGCATTCATTTCATTCTAAACTATTAACATTTTACAAAAAAAAAAAAACACATTTTACCCTCCCTGTTGCAGCAAACCTAAGTACTTGTTAAATTAATGTTATTTAAATAGGGAATAAATGTGATATTTTTAAGGAGACATTTTTGTGTAAATCCAATCAAGCAAATGGAAATTCGCTTAGTCTGCAGGTTTGCTGCGGCGGGGGTATTTTTAAGAGTTTGTTGTCTTTGTTACCAATAAATTTGATGTTCGGTGCAGGTATCACCTGGAATAAGGACACATTATTCATTTACTTGGAGAACCCCAAGAAGTACATCCCCGGGACCAAGATGGTGTTTGCTGGAATCAAGAAGCCACAAGAGCGAGCTGATCTTATCGCCTACTTAGAGCAGGCTACAAAGTAGAAGAATAATAATTGAACATGTGTAGGAAAAGTTTACAGACATTCGTGTCAACCACAACCAGCAGGGCTAATATTGATGAAACTGTATTAGGATCTTATCATTTTGCTGTATTATATATATTTATTTTCTGTATAGTAAATTATTCTTTTATCTAAGGTGTGTTTAAATGTAAAACTATTCCAAAGAAATAGGAATGCAGTATTCCTACATACATTCTATTAATGTTCCAAGTAAAAATTTAAACAAGTTTTTGACATAGAAGTAGAGGCAATGAAACTATTAATTCTCTGTTATTAAATAACTGCCACATTATGACATTATGATTTTCTATGAAAATTATGTGTTAATAAAATGTTACTCTGTTATTGTCAAACAAAACTGAGTCTCATTTAGTCCTGTCTTTTCAATTGAGTCTGATCCTCTTTGTAATATGAGATATAAACTTTAGAATTGAAGCCCTAATATTCTATCTTATTTTGAATTCCCAATCGTTTTAAGTTTACAGTGTTTACCCCATATCTAATGACAATATAGCCTAGTTTTTACACACTTGCCAGTGATGATTAGGCTATGACAATATTTGCTAAATTACCAATAATAAATACATTTCAAACTGTTTTTTATTAATGCCGAACATTTTTACATTTTCTTCTTTAAATGAACACTGTGATAAGTTTGTTGTTTCATTTTACTAAATCGTTTACAACTTAATTGCTTTTATTGGGTAACTAATAAGCTGATTAAATTGTTGCAACTTATACAAGTCTTTGTGTAAGAAAATGGAAATACCCTATTTATAACAATAGGAATATTAAGAGATTGTTGAGTTACATAAGCCAAGGTTAGTGAAATAAGTTGCATAATCGTAATAGTCTGTCATTATTGGTCTCTGTCTCTACTAATACAGAAGCAGGTTTTGACACTCATCTACTTATATAGAGTCTGGGGTCACATGAAGACTGTAATTTGAATAGTCCATTAAAAATATTTTCATCTCAATGGAACAGCACACTGAACTTTTCAGAACCATTAATTTATTTTTGCAGAAACTGTTTTGTAGCCTAAATCAAATGTTAAATGAATTCCAAACTTGTATTGTGTTGAAAAATATTTATTTACACATCCTGGCTAAGGTAAAAAATTAAATTACCACATTTAAAAATGTATGTGTCAACATTTTGTTTGTACATGATCTACTCTTCACAATTGAGTACCATAACACAGTGAGGCAAGCGGCCAACAGTTTGAATTATTTTGGGAATGCACTCCTCAAACTGGGTCACTCAAAGCGAGACCAGGAACCTATTTTAAGTCAATTGGGCCATGTTTTGTGTGTTGTGTTAATTTAATCCTTTTGTTTATTTTCCTGAAAAAACTTATCAAAAATAATTAACAGACATATTTATTTCATAGAGATAAATATTTGCCAACTAGTTATACCTTGACCTATAAGTCCTTGAGCTTGGCATTTTACACATTGATTGAAATGTTGCTACACACCCAACTTCATTTTTCACTTGTATCTAATTTCTTATCAGTAAGGAATATTTGTTTAAGCCAATCAACAATCAAGTTTCCACATATAAGTACTGTAAAAGCTAAATGATATGTAGTGAAGATATTTATTTACAAACATGTTGTATTACACGAGGTAGTCTGGCGATGTCGCCAGTGACAGTAGCTGGCAACGCACTTGCTACCATACCTAGTAGCCAGAATTTGTCTAGTTTTATAGCCAGTGGCGACCATTGTGATGGGGCTTAGTAGTCAAAGTGTGGCTACCTTCATGTAATAACATCCATAAGAATTAATGTCCCATGACAAGCTGAGTAGCCAGTTCGGTAGCTGGAGACATTGCCCAGCTACCTCGTGTAATAAGGGCCCAAGCTGCAGTGTCAGTCATGTGATCAGTCCATACCAGTCTGTTGACTCTAGGACTACGTAAGGCTGGACGCACACTGATCCAGCATTTCACCTGAAGCAAAATGTTGCACAACGATTTGCTTTAAGCGTTTTGTTTCTTTGCTTCTCCAGTGTGCGAGAGGTTCAAGCATGATGCAGCATTTGGTTTCAAGCAAAAATAAATATTATTTGTACTGGTACTCTACGGTATTGTTTTAACATGTGTGACGAGGAAGTCAACGTAGCTATTGCTGTATGTCAGTTTTTGCAAATGCTAGACTAAGAAAGAAAACATGGGGTTCACTCAAACAATCAGATGATAGACATTAATGCTCTCAGAAATTAAATCAGATCCAGAGAAATTGTACAATTATTATTGTCGAATACTTGCTACACTATTTTATTGGAAGGGTTTTTAATAATGTAAGTGATATCGTTAGAAATTATTATTTGATAATGTCGTGATGGTTATAAATAATGAACTAAATAACATGGGTTGTTTCTTAATTATCTAGTGACTGTATGGTTGTCAAAGTGGTAGCAAGAAAAATTAAACAACAATGTGGGAAATTCAAAAAATATAATTTTTAAGTTGTAATGAAACTTTAAAATGCATTTGTCAAGAGTAATTTTGTAAACAACAAAAGGTCGATTGAATTTTGAAAGCCACTAAGCTTTACTAGCTAGAAAGGATTTGGCGCATGCGCAGAACATTTTGCTCCTTGAAACATCAAACATCGTGCTGTATGGGATCCATTCGTCGAGCAACTGCTCAAATGTTTCAAGGTGTTGCGAGGCGCCTCGCAACGTTTGCTTGATCAGTGTGCGGCGTCCCATTGAAATACATGGGGCGCTCGTACCCAGCGAAACATTTTGCCTTGCAACACTTGCTTCAGGTGAAATGCTTGATCTGTGTGCGTCCGGCCTAAAACTAAAAATTATGGACGGAGCAATCTTATTTTGAACTAGCAATCTGCCCGTTCTATGGGTGTACTCAGGCGAAACCTTAATTTAATTTATAACAGTTGGTTAGCAAATCAAGTTAAAAATTTCTTTCCAAATATGCAGGATAAACCATTATACACGTAGCCCAACTGTTGTAATAGAATAGAAAATAAATAACTCTCTAAATTAATTATTTTATGTTAATTTATAAGATTCGACGTATTAATATTAAGTAGGGCCTACCTATCTTCTGGACATCTTACAAACAAAAGCTCTTTTAAAACAATATTTAGGCTATTTTAAGTATTTTATAACTTTTCGGGAGCTGATCTTATACATTAGTGTTTTAAAAAGTAGTTAAAGTTCTCCAAAGAAATTTCCGGACTTGCAGCCACATGGAGTTGCCCATGTAAAAATGCAGGAAAGGTAATATCCAGCTGGTAATATTATACCTTAGCTATGAACTGGCCTTGAGTATTAGTGCCATAGCTAAAGCTGAAATTACCAAACATTGAGTTCTTTGAATTTAGAATGGCAGCACTTAGTCTAATAGATTTGAATTTAATTTGGGTATCAGAGTTCGTTGCTTAGGCTTACTTGAAGAACAAGTCAAAACCTTACAGCCTCTAATGCTGTTACACAAACATTTCACATGTAACGTTCCATTACGGTACTCGATCAATTTGATAGTATGTTAACATTTCTTATCAACACTACCACTGATTTTTTTGTAATAGTGTAATGTGGGGGCAGTTCACTTAGACAACAGACAATATTGGTACAAACTATTTAATATTTTTCCTACAGTTACCTAACAATGTACATGTTCTCTCACTGATTTGAGAAAGCAAAGTGGCCAATTCGCTCACCAGTGAGACAATGTTAACATTGTCTCACTCCAGATTTGCAACGTGAAGGCACGAAAAAGGGAGCGCGTAACATGAAGACAAAGTCGTATGCGCTCGAAACACGTTGGCAGCCAGTGCTGCCAACGTCAATCAGCTGGTCTACAATCAGCTGGTCAGCTATTGTACTGCTGTATCATTAAATGTCATGTTAAAAGTTCACTTCTGTGTAAAAATATGTTACGTTTCTTTACCAATTTATTTGTTTTATGGTAACTGTAGGAAAAATATAATGTGGAACTCGAGTGCAAAGTGCAATTGCCTCACTCGAGTGAGTCAATTTCTCACTTTGCTCGCTAGTTGCACAAATAACTATTTTTGGGTATCAGTTTTGTTTAAGGAAAGGCTCTAGGCCAGGATTTTAAATGGTAGAAAAAGGAGGATAGCAGCTAGCTTACCTTGAAAGTGTGGGTAGGCCATAGAACAAGTAGAAAAAATATTCTATTTTTTTTTATTCTATTTTTGGGTATCAGTTTTTTCCTCATCATCTGATATTCTAGCAAAACTTTTGCAAGTAATGGGATCATAGATAATACAATATGTTCGATTTTAAGCAATCGACAAACTCTGGGGGTCTTAAAAGTTAAACAGCCTGTCAAAGTTCAACATGTAAGTCCTCTAATAGTTTTCAGGTGGTTTGACTCATCACTGTTCACTGATACACCGGATACTGAGGATTCATTCAGGGGGGACTGGTCAAAAACCAATGAGAACCTCTTCTGTGAAGGAGGGGGGGATTGTGGGAGAGGCCCTCACGTCAATTTAAGGAAAACTGTAAAATAATTTTTTAAGTTATAAAATTAAAAAACGAATGAAGGCTTACTAATCCAAAAAAAAATAGTTCATTCTGTTCATAAAATAAAATTATAAATGCCTCAAATTCTAACAAAAGATGTAGGCCTACTTAAGATGTAATCACATTTTAAGCATCGTTGACAAAAAGTTAGTGTCACTGTTGGGATTCGATCTGGTTACCTCTTGGACATCAACCAAGTACTCTAAACACTACACCACGCACGCAGATGGCTGTACTTCGTATCGTTGCGGTAATGGTGTTCCCCCAAGAGTGTGACGCATAGCGACACGCTATATTTTACATAGTGTGTGCCGTTCGCGAAGCCGGGCTGCATGACTATCTCGTTGCCTGCCGCGACTGCATAAACGCGCTATCCCCACCCTCCTAGACTCTTGTCCTCTCCTCCTTCTTGCTCAACCAACCGTCAGACGGAAAGGAAGCCAAAAATTCGCCGAACCGGACTCTCATGTTACGGATAAGTTTTTTACCTTAGCTTAGGACTAAAATTAATAGCAATAATGTCTGGCTAGTTCAGGAAACAAGCGGGGAGCCCTTCTGGCTCACCCGACTATTGAAATGAGGTCAATTAACTTTTAGCTGAGATGGCTGCCTTCAGCACCCATCCTTATCGAACATGAAATATTAAACCACATGTTCCCAGAATGTAACTTAGCAATTATTTCCAGTTATCCAAGTTCGGTTCTTAGTGGGAAGGATAGATTAATATGTAAATAGTTAGTTCCATAGTTCAAATCAAAGCTGGCTAGGCAGGTGTTCTGATCTGGGTAAAAGGTCTCCGTCCCTCTGGTCCCCAGCAATCTTCCTAATTTTATTGGTAGCAGATTCAGCAGGCTTAAATTAAGTTTGGTCCAGACACACCTATTCCTAACCTATTAGCCTTACCCTGTTTATTCCCTCCTGATTACCCGAATTCCCTCCTCCATACCATTAACCACCCATTACCCCATCATCTAACCCTCACCGAACGGCCCCCCAGCTACAAGAGAGGAGAGTGACATCACGCCCCCCACTCCTTCGCAAAAGAAGTTCTCATCGGTTTTTGACCAGGTCCCCGAGACACTAGTGCTTACTTTATACTCTCTGTTATACTTCACAATAACAACCTGAAATTAAACTAATTAAAACCCTTTGCAACTTGTATCCTTTGAGTTCGTCATGTTAATTTTTAACCCAATAGAAGCAATGACTATACACAGAATAGACTTCCCATGTAATGTAAAAATTTGAAAAAAAAGTGGTGCAATCTTTTGAGATGGTCTACCAACTAATGACAATATTCTGTGTTAACCCTTCCATGGCTATGGACGGATATATCCGTCAATCTTTGTTTACTTTCCAGGCTGAAAACGGATATATCCGTCCCGAGAAATTTCTTTTCTGGGCCAAAGATGGATGTCTCCGTCCGAAAAACGAATTGATATACAATGCTTATAATACGGTAATAAACATTACACTGCATTATAAATGGGTTTTTTTGTTTTGTGGTTGGCAATAATAATTGCCGCAGCTGTTTCGGCTATTTTGCACCATAGAGTGTGCGTAAGTAAATATTGCTGTCACTTCACACATGGGTTGTTAGTGAGTGATGTTTACATTTTGTGTTTTGTACTTTATTTTTATGTTATTGAGCTAAAGTTACTAATGCAAACTGTATGAAATTGGAAGATCTTATTGAGATGCTTAATAAAAAAGTATGTCTGAGGGGGGTTTTTAGTTTGCAGTGAAAATAATAGTATGGAATGTGATGGATATGATAAACCTGAAGTCTTTACGTAGTAGAAGTCTTGGCGGGGAATGGGATTAACTGTGTGGTTTAGATTTTCTTCAGAATTATAGATACATTTTTATGGATAAAAATAAAGCAAGGGAAGGAATAGCCTAAGATTGACGGATATATCCGTCTGCCGCCCACAAGAATATTCAAGATTATTGGCAGTGTTCTTATTTTGTGATTATCGCTCCGTCCACCTTATGTTTTTTGTGGGCCAAAGACGGATATATCCGTCAAATCAAATTTTATTTTCTTCATAACTTTTGTACAAAAATTAGTTCAGCCCTAAGGAAAATCTTTTTATGATCCATGAATTATTTCAAGTGAAATACAAAACACAACCACTTTAGTTTTTAATTTTTGTCAAAAAATAATTAAGCTCCAGCCTTTCATTTAATTTAGCCCTGGAAGGGTTAAGTGATAAATCAATCAGGAGTTTGCTATGATACTGCATCCATACACGGTTAGGCAAAAGTCTGGAACCCCCCCGTTAACTATTTAACCCGTTGCAGTACGAAAACCAAACTCGGCACATGTGGGACGGGTGGCGTCGTCCTGTAATCCAGCTACTAGGAGGTCACGAATTGTGGATATTTATAGGCATGCACTGTGGATGTGATACTCCCTGGTGTGGATTAACGTCTGCACGAGTGAGTACTACGACTTTCCGCAGTACTATCCTGATAATTAGACCAATTTGTATATACCAAGGAAAAAATGTGGTTCGGATTCCACTATAAACTGTAGGTCCCTTAGTTGCCATTAGCTGTATGGGCTATTAACCAGCTGTGTCTAAGGAATGTCGGCCTTAGTCACTAACAAGACTACAAGATCGCGCCACTCATCCTACACTCATCTCCATTCATACTTGGCTTAAAATACCTACTATGTATGGTCGCCATTTCATCGAATAGTATTAACAGTATTACAGCATGAGAAATTGCACTTTTTCATCACAGTTACAACTTTGCCCCAGCCCCCAAAATCAGGGTATACGTCTACACTTTAGAGGCACTTAAACAAGCAGGCTAGTGTATTAAAAAAACGGGACTTTCCAGAACTATCTTTACAACATGTTGCAGCTGTATTGTTACTTGTACAAATTTTTTTTATCGATGAACTGAGGATATTTTATGTAAAATTTGACCACTTGTTCAAAAGTGGAAACCCATCTATGCAACTAAAGGAAATGATCTTACAAGGTGTCTACCAGTTGATCAAACTAAATTTCAGTGATTGACACATTAACACGTTATATAGAAAATTTCATGAGATGAAAAATTCATTCTCTCTTAGTAATGAGTTGGAATTTACTATTCATAAAATTTTTCCCTGTATTAAGAGAAATTTGCAATTGGACTCAACTGTGTAAAAATGAAATCTCCAAAACAGTTTTGTCCTTACAATTTTAACCCATTTGCGTCATGTTGTTTATTTACCAAAAATCCCAGTATCAATTAAACATTAAAAAGGAAAAAATATATATTAGACTATTTTTTTATGTTTTATAGCTGAAAATAATAATAAAATGAATATATTGTATACAATTATGTATTTTATATGTAGTACCGGGGGACCGAGCCATGGCTCGGTATAGTTTATTTCGGTAAGTCAGGGGCTCAGTCGTTAGCGTTACGGACTTCGGGCCCAAGGCAGCGATGTTGTGGGTTTGTATAATGGTCACTGTCGCAGACATTTTATCAGTAGAGTTCACCTTCGTACTGTACCGGCTAAACCCTTGCTTTGCTAGATAAGTTACACGAGCAGTTAGTCTATGTGGACGGGCAAGGTTAAAAGAGGCCGCCAATCTCTTAAAAAAAAGTTGATTTCGATTGTAAAAAGATTTTTAAAGAAACTTGCGTTTTATGTACAACTTATTTTGGCTTTTATTATTTAAGTTTCAGTGGGATTTCAATTTAAATTATTATGGAAATTTTTCTGAATACACAACAAATTTTGTAAACTATAAAGAGTGCATACAATTGTAAAATCTTCCCTTAAATAAGAGTAAAACATTGAGTTGGCGTACCAGTAAGTCAGCCGTGATACCGGACATAACGTACTGGTACGTCATCCGATGCAAATGGGTTAAGCCAACAAATTAATATTCATGCCTCCCTGATCTGAAAAAGTAGTCAAATGTTACTAGCCCTGTAGGAGTGTTAAAGGAGAGTGATTTCTATGGATGAACAGTATTGAACTTTAACTTCAGAACAAGATAACATTTTATATCCTGATATTCAAAGCGGGATTTTCCCCCTGCAACACAACCTTGAAGAAAAACTATAACTAATTAATATTGGATCTCATAACTAACTTCAAATTTGAGAGTCAGTGTCCTCTTAAATAGAGTCAGTAGTACAGCTTGTAATAGTAAGAGAGCAGGTGCCAAAAATTATACGATTCTTTTAAGGATTTTTGTATTTTCCCAACAAAATATTCTTAAAAAATCAGATGAGTTAAAATTTACTTCTTCGCCGCTGCCGCCTCATCTTCCTTCTGGTAGGACTGCAAAAGTTCTTGCTTCTTCTGTGTTAATCGCTCGGCACGTCGCTTCTTGGCTTCCTTCACCTTCTGTCTTCGAGCCTCTGCCTGGTCACTGTAATCAGATACAACAATTAGTGAGTGTTACTTAACAACATACAAATTCTCTTGAAAACTTGTAACATTAAATGAACCATTGGCCTATTTTAAGGGAGCCTTATCAGGATGAATAACGTGAAAATAACATTTAAGGGCAATTCCAGGTGTTCAGGCCAAAACTCACATCTAAAAAAAGTTGTACTTGTGCATTATAAATTGTTCAAAGAACAAAAATTAACTCATATTCAAGAATAAAAATACTCTTACAACCTCATTTTAAAATGTTAAAGTGATGATTTTGGTACCAGTTTGTTGTCATTAGAAGTTACCGCAGACATAGTGATTATAACCAATTTTTTGTTTTGTGTGGAACCAAGTATTTAGAAAGTGATTTTTCATTTTGCATTGTATTAACAAATACCCTCTTCCCACCGGGCTTCCTAAACAAGTTTTCCTTTGCCTGATTTGATTTAGTTTTTTAAATCTAAAAAGATTAGGTTTAACGAGTACCTAGGTTTTGCTGCTACAGCTTGGAAATAAATTTGTACCGTTTGGTCAAATATATCATTTTTTTTTAAAGGGTAGCTTCCGGATTATCAAGATACATCACGTAGGAGTATTAACCCTACGCAACTTCGTTCACAAATATTTATAGTGCCCGGCAGTCTAGACGTAAACTCCCGCCGGTCACGTCGTTAAAGCTAGGCCTAGGCATGCGTGTTATGTGTTTTAAATGTTTTTTATGTTATGTAAATATTTGTGAACTTTGACGACCTTCAGAAGAAGTGACAACCCTAAAGAAGGCTCCATTGAGAGCTGAAACTAGTTGTTTCACAACCGATTGGATTATCAACATTACAGGTATTTAAACCACTTTAATTCAAAATATATCCATAAACAGGCAAACTACAACTGTTTATTATTGTATGTTTATTATTTTTTAATTTTTCTCAGTAACCAATAACCGTACAAGAACACTTCAATAAACCAAATATTTTTTAAGCTCTTCAAAATGGTCCCGAGAGAAATTAATTGTTAAATTTTATGTTTTGATGATCAAAAATGAGAAAACTAATTTTTTACCCTGGGCATGAAACCCCAACCCAGGTTCGTCGTTTCCCGCAGTCATGAAAACATCATCGCCATCATGCGCGATCGCGACAAAATCACTAAAACATCCCGTGGCCGTAAAGAGTTTGGACATCATCATCGTCTCCCGCGGTTACGGAAACATCATCATCTCCCGCGGCCATGGAAACGTCATAGTCGTCTCCCGCGGCCATGGAAGCGTCATTTTCATACGCAATCAAGGCAAATTGAAAATTCCCGGTAAAATATGAAAATCACGCATAATTTCCGGATTTCCAGGTCAGTGGACACCTTTTCTGAAGGTGAGGCAGATAAAAAAGTGTTGAATTCTGGATACACTCTAAATTGTGAGGTTATTCTGAGTGGTGAAATAATGAACTGGAATCTAAAAATTCTAAAGGTGTTTTAATACTTGAAGACAAATTCCTCATTAAAGTAGGTGTCCAGTAGTTTAACTTGACGAGACAATTAAATGAGACAAAACAATTGTTATAGCTGAACATTACTTACTTCAACATCTTTGTCCTAGCCTTCTCTGCCTTCTTCTTGTGAATGAACTCCATGAGTACACGCTTGTTCTTGAAGACGTTACCTGAAAAAATCCTTTGAAATCATAAATTGGTATAGAAATATTTATCGCCAGTCTAGCACCATAACTGAGCGAAAGATCACAAAAATTGTGCAGCAAATATAGTAATAAACTTATCATACAATTCAACTACTGTTTACCATATTTTTATTTATTTCAGTTGATTCTCATATGATAGAGATGTTGAGTCCATGGAGCATTGTAAACATTTAAACATACAATGAATAAGTCCATAGAGGCACACAAAACATCACAAAAGTAAAAGTAGAAATTTTCACTGGAGATTGGAGAAATGGCAAAATGGCAGTTGAAATTTGAATCGATCAATTATTTAAGATGGGGACACCACTATGTGCGTATTTTAACCCAAATATGAGTGAAGGAAGAGTGTAGGATGAGTGGCGCGATCTTTGTAGTCTTGTTAGTGGCTAATGCCAACATATTCCTTAGACACAGCTGTTAATTAATAACCCATACAGCTAATGGCCATGGTGGAAGTAAATAAGGTGTGCTACTGTGCATCGTGTACGGGTGATGGTGGTGCGGGGCGGGGTATAGGGACGTCACCTTGGGGGCAAACAGCCTCGCAGCCATAATCGAGCAGTAACACTGCTCTAATAACATCGTAATTTTAAATAATTAGTAGGCCTACTTTCTTAGCTACGAAGAATTATTTATGTCAAGCGGCAACGGAGCGTGCTCTCAGCCGAGGCTATCGTTTATTGGATAAAAAGGTCACGCCGTAGCTGTATATTAAAAGGACACTTTGTATTCTACATTTTCAATCAAATATGTAATATTAACATGTGAAAGATATGATAAAGTTTTACATTAAAATGCGTTGCAACATTTAATTTTTTTTTACAAATTAACACTCTTTTATAACAGTTTTTACCAAGAGATTTGTAGGAACCTAAATGAATATCATTTATTTACTTAGTTTATTCTATTCTACAATCTTATAGTTATAGATAAATTTTCAACCTGGAAGTAATTATGTAAAACATATATCAGCTCTGGATTTTTATAAACTTTTTAAGTTTCTTCTTTCTTTTTTCTCCACTAGCAAGATTTCATTTTCATAGCTTTCTGTTTCTTTGCTTTATTTTGATATAGGTTCCTAACCTTTGCAGAACTGATATCTACTGCAACTCGTAGTAAACAGCGAAACGAAAACAACACACGTGACCGTCTCTCGCTCACCACCCCCGCATCTGAGCCAAAGTTGCGACATGACAGTTTTTTTTATTTATTATAGTAATACAATAGTGAAACAATTTGATATTTTAATAACTGAATGCTTGCTGATTATAAATACAATGTTTACAATGTCACCCACTTATTTTAAACGGAATAAATTTTATATACTTTGTTATACTTGACTTTGCGTTAAAAAGAATTTATTATCAAACCATTTCAAGCAAACTTTGATTTTAGTTCACCAATAATGGTTTGCAATACAGTTAAAATTAAGTGTAATTAAGATATAAGATATAATTAACACAGAAATTATATCTTCTCTGTGAACTATTACAAAATAATCTGTATTTAAACTGGAAAACCCATACTGAAGTCAACAGAACTACAATTTACACACATAAAATGCAATACAGGAATAAAAATATCACTACTACCAGCGCTCATATAACTACGCATGTCTCAGGAAATAATGCCTCTAACGGTATATAGTTAAATTAAGTTAAATTTCAATCATAATCTAAAACTGTCCCGCTGGTAAAATTAGTCTAACCAAATAGTAGTATGTGATTTGGTAGCTGACTAACTTTTTCATGTTTAGTTTAAAGAAAGGCCAAGTATAAAGAGTAATTTCACGGTTATATTTGTTATAATTATTAACAAATTTTTCACAACACGCATTGTCCACTTGTAATTTTTTTATTTCAATGAAAATTTTATATTTTTTTCTCAATTCTAACTGTTCAAAATGTTTTCGAGATGTTATCCGAGCAGCGTCACACTGAGCTATATACGCGCGCAAGGCGGTTTTCCCTCTAAGGTGACGTCACGTCGACTAGTCTCAAACTTGTCCGGCTGAATAGCACACCTTATTTACTTCCACCATGGCTAATGGCAACTAAGGGACCTACAGTTTATAATGGAATCCAAACCACATTTTAGCCTGGGTATTAACGAATTTGTCCAATTATCAGGATAGTACTGCGGATAGGCGTAGTACTCACTGGTGCGGACGTTAATCCACACCAGGGAGTATCACATCCACAGGGCATACCCACAATATCCACAATTTATTATTTCACGGTAATGCTAAATCTTTCTTTTATGACCAGAACATTTAAAGGATTGTGTGCTAGAGATATGAAAGAGAAATAAAAAATTATGTAACTGAATTCGGTAAACAACGTTGAAAAATATATAAATGCACAGCCTGTAGAATGATGACTATAGTCCTTCCACTTAGAAAAAAACCACGCACCTGTTCGCGCAGGTAGGAGAGTAAGAGTGGTGGGGAAAGACCACCCCTCTCCAACAACTTATCCCCACCACCGCTCCAGGCCCTTTCCTGCCATAACCCCTATGTGCGCGAGACAGCCGTGGTTCTGCACAGGTTCTTTTTTTAAGTGGTAGGCCTATAGTTTATTAGTACCGATTGATCAAGTTTTGACTATTATAAAAACTAAAAACCACTAGTGGCTTGTAGGGACATAAGTCCCCAAAAAGCTGAAATGTAAAACAACATATTGCAATTCCGGTATTTAAACAAACTAACAAACTCAGAATAACATTATCTATGTGTTAGAATAGGCATCCCTACACCATATCTTTTGTGTAAAAACCAGTTTGTTGTTCTTCTTTGTTTGCTTTAGTTGATGTCATTTTCAATAAATAATTTGAATCACTCCAGTGGTTTAACATGAAAAGGCAGCAAACATATCATTGTTTGTGAATAAATACTGGTTTGCTAAGGTAGCTTTGGTCTTGTGGTTAATGAGGATAAATAAAAGCTTCTCTGTTTGGAATTTTAAAAACTAATTGGAGGTTCGCCTTCAGATGAATTGAAGACGCCTGCAATTTCATCTGCAGTAGGCTTATTATACCTATGACGATCCATATTTATCCTGTCTACAAACCTAAGTTCTAATTCACTGTCACATTGTACAACCATTTCTTCCTAAGCTCTTTTGTAAATTTGTGCAAATGGATTTTCTAATAGAATTTCAGCTAGTTTTGACAATATTTCAGGTTTTAAGTCACTATTTTCTCGACGCCTTTCACGAATTTCTGTTGCTGTTGATGTGTCAATAATGTACAATTGGCCATACACGGGGTCTTCATCATGTTGAGGCAGCAAATCTGAGATTGAACGATAAATCTGTCCTTGAATTTTGAAACAGTATGGTCCTTTTCCTGGAATATCTTTCTTACTGGCTGAAAAATAAGCAAAAGCCATCGCACTGTTGTATTGTCGAATGAATTTATACAGTTGTGGGCTCTCTTCAAACAAATTTTTAAGTTCTACATTAGTTTTTGGCTGAGGAAGGTTAATAAGTCCGTTATGGCAACATGTCATAAAATGATTATTCGTTAGTTCTTCTCTAAAATGAAGAGCACTACATTGAATGCACTCTTGGTCCAGTAATCCTGCATCATGGATATTTACATTTCTCTCGTTTACCATGGGTCTCCTAAAAAGGGGTTGTAACATATCTTGATTAAGTTCGTCATTATCTACTCTTGCTCTTCTACGCGCACTGTCATTCCTATGAACAGCTTGCCTTTGTGCCTTCCCCTGGCGTTCATATTAATTACAGTGCTTATAATGAAAATAATATATATCCAGCAGCCTACATACCAAAACATCTTGAATCCCTGGTGATTTTATAAAAGTATGATCGAATATGATTACTCTACGTTGTATATTCACTACACTAAAAAAATATTTACTTACGAAGGAATGCAAATACACCATTTTAGAACCAATAACATTTGTAGGTTATTTTAGTTGTATATAGCCTATTAACACAACCTTAACCTTAAAATGTGTAGAAATATAAAGAAAACAACATCATTTAAAATAAACTTGAACATATGATTTAAAAATAAAAACAAAACAGAAGTTAGATTTAATTTCGACTCTTTGATTATTTATACAGAATATTTATTCTATGTCGTTTATTCCTTTAACACGACAATAACGTAAAAGCATGAAAAAATGAAACTTGAGTATATGATTTAAATATAAACAAAGAATGGAGACGTTTTTCCGATTAATCTTCAAGATTTCAGTTTTATTATAGTATACATTTCATAGTTGACTGGCTAAAAGTAAACCAAATGCGTGTATTGATCACTGTTTTCAAGATATAGCACGATCAGCTGTATTGAAGTAAACAGAAATCAGCAGTAAATGACTTCTGTTTTAATTTCAAAAGATGTAAACAAATTAAACCCCATGTTGTTTTAATGGGAAAAGTTTTATTCTGTTGCGAATTTATGGTAAAAAAATAAGAAAAATGAATAGTTTTCCCTCAAAATTCACGTCAAGACCTTTAAAATAAGACCCCTCCCATCCTTCTACGGCCATCCAGTCACTCACAATTTCTTTACAAAAATTTGACTTACGGAATTATATATATAGATTCTCCAGAGTTTAATAGATTACAGTTAAAGAAACTACTTAAACAAAATAAGTGCAACATATTTGAATGCAATATCACTTATTTATTTAATAGTAACAAACCTTTTGCTTTCATATACAGTTGGTGATAGAGGTGACGGTCTATCTTCTTGGCTTCCCTGTACTTCTTTAGTAGCCTTCTTAATACCCTCATTCGGTTCACCCACAGGGTCTAAAACACAGCAAATGAATATTGGAATTAAAGTTTCAGAATACAATTTTTAAAGAAGAAACTTTAGCAAAGTTTAGCAGAATCGTGAGGTTTGAAAACAAATTCTTAGGAGGATTTTTAGGCCCGACGCTCGTGGATGGAGGAAATGGCATAATATTGAGATTAGAGAGTGCTACATAGATCCAGACATCATAGTGGAAGTCAAAAGTAGGTGGTTGAGATGGTTTGGACACATGAGGAGAAAGCAAAACCCCACCAGGAAGAACAGACTTGCAGGGTGTCTAATTTATTTCCATTTTTAAAATCAAGACCAATTCCAGACTTTTCAAGACTAGTGTTTTCAACAATTTAGTGATTTGTCGATACAAAAATTTATTGATTCTCAATACCGATACCTAAAGAATACCATTTTTTTATAGTTTACCAAATTTAATGAATTGTTTATAATACACCAACCCCCATCTTTATATCATTAAGTATATTTGAGATAGTGGGGAGTTTTTGAGAGTAAAGAAAACATTAATGCAGCAATGAAAAATTCTTCTTCTAGCCAATTTGGGTTAAAACTGGGGGTGTGCGAATACTACTTTCGAATACGAATCGAATAGAGAGAATTTTGAATCGAATTCGAATTTTTCCGAATCGAATACCTTCCCTCGAACAGTATTTGAATAGTGACAATTTTTTAACCGAATACTAACCCTCAAATAATGAAAACTTGAAATCAATGTCAAGTCAACTCTCAATAACTTAATTACTAAAACTGTTGGTATATTTTTTTCAGAATAAGTGTAGATTGTAAATGCATCTTTTGTTTATTTAATTTAGGCCTAGTTTAATTCAATAGGTAACTGAACTTAGATAATAAGTAAAGGTACGAACCTGAACCAAGTTTTATTAGTCAAAATTATAAAGTACTACCAATAACAAATTTTGTAAAACACATTCAACCAATTGGGTAGTGATAATCATCATAACCACATAAAAACGCACATTGTTTTCTTTTACTAAGTAGGGATTTAGGCCTACAACTTACTGTCAGCCCTAAGTTTATGTTTTAGAACATAAACTTTAAAAAAGGTATGCCTAAAATAAAACTTGTTGTCATAACTTAACATAGCCTAATCCCATGACTTGGGCTTAGGCTACTGGACAACTAGGTTTGAAGGTACAAGAACCTAGGCCCTATTTTTAACCATTTACAGTACCTAACACATTAAGATCAAAGGTAAATGAAGATCTAACAAAAAAAATCAATAAAGACAATTTTATTATTAGGCCTACTAGAGGTGAGCCATCCTCAAACCTTGATCATCTCCTGCGGTTGTAGGGACATCATCGTCGACTTTTAAGATTAGTGAAAAAATCCTGAATATCCTCCTCAGACATGGAAAGATCATCACTGTCTTTCGTGGTGGCATCAAAATCATAAATATCAAAAAAATCACCATCATCGTCTCCAGCAGTCACGGAAATGTTATCAACAACTCCCACAATCATGGCAAAATTACGGATATCTCCCACGGTCATGTGGGCATTATCATCGTCTTTCCTGCATTAGCGCCAAAATTCTTATTATCTCCCGCTGTCGTATAGACATCATCGACTCCCACGGTCACGGAAATTTCATAGAGGTCTTGCACGATCGTGGTCAAAATCATGACTATCTGTCACGGTTATGTGGACATTATCACCATCTTCCGCTACCGTGATAAAATTTTGATCATATCCCTCGAACGTGTAGACATCATTATCATTATCATTCACGGTCATGTAGCCTAGATATCAGCATCATCCCGTGTTAGCGAAGAATTTATGAACACGGTCGTGTGGACGTTTTATCGTAGTCATACGTGATCGCTGAAAAATTCTGATCATCTCAGAAAGTGTAGACATCATGATTGACTTGGTCACAAAAACACCATCGTCACACAATTGCGGTAAAAGTTTGAGCATTTTATTACATTTTACATGGTCCATAAAACTTCTGACTGTGATAACAAAAAAAAGACTAAATCCTGACTTTTCAAGACCATTTTAAAATTCAATACTAATTCCCAACTTTCCCATTCCTCCACTACACCCTGATTTGATAGAAACCCCGAAGGCAGAAGACCACCAGCCTAGCGCTTAGCTTAGCGAGGACGGTCTAAGCTAAAATGGAGGGATATTAAGTAGACTGGGTTTGTGAAGGAGTGAAAATGATGCTTGCAAGAGAGAGACACCTGGAGGCAGCTTGCGTGAGCGAGGCCAAATACCTCTTAGGGTACCAGAGGCCACTCCGGTTAAAAAATTACATTCCGTAGTAATGAGGTAAAACTACACGGGATTAAAACAATTGATCCATTCCATTTTACAACTCTAGTTTTAAAATGAGCGAGAAGTAGAGAATTATGTTTCAACCTCAGACATAGTGACAATGAATAACCCTCCAATAATTTAATTGGGAATAAAAAACTGCCATGTAGGAATATTTAAGATGTTAACAAACCCTTGGAATAAAAACGTTAACTTATGAATATTAATCATATTTAAGGATATAACTGAACAAGATTTTAAAGATTGGTGTAATAATTTATAAGACTCCACTTAAATATGAGAACATTATTATGTCATTAGACAACTTCCCTTACCTTTTGTGGCATACGAGCGTTGGCAGTACCCTTCCTCTTACCAAAGCCACAATGACGACCCTTTCTTCTGGCCTCAGTGTTTTTCCTGACTCTGGCTCTGGAATGGACTGCAACTGGCTTCTTGATGATCAACCCATCTTTGATTAATTTACGAATGTTTTGGCCTGGAATTCATAGATAAAATTTAGTATTAGAGTTAATTGCAGTGATTCCAATGGAACAATAGCATTTATTATGAAAGATTAGCATGTAATTTATGAATTCTTTGTCCATACTTTAGGTATATAGACATTTAGTGACTGTAACTAGGCAGACATAGAACACCGAACCCTTGAAACTTACAATAACAAAATTGGTTAACCCTTTGAGATCGAATTTTTCCCCCATTTTTCAGCGAGTAGTTTGCCATTCCAGTAGTCGGGAAAATGGTACCCGACGACTTATACTCGCCTTTGACTGCAAAAATAAACTTTTTAGATTTTAGATTTTTTTTTAGTTTTTAAATCATTGACATGTCGTATATCAAATTAAAGCTGAACTCGCGAGGATTAAGAATTTTCAAACAGAATGAAAATAAGTTAAGTGCTTTCCAAGATACAAGGTATTTTGTAAAACTCAATATTTTCCCCCGCCATTTTGAAACCGACAAAGATGAAGGAGTTCTGTTTTCACTACATTGTTCGTCTAATCTAGAGCTTTAAAATGATGCATAACATGGCAATATGTTTATACATTTGAAAACTCTGAGATTCGAACCAATGACCCCCAGTTTCTCGAACACCCTGTATTTTAAAAATGGTAAAAATATTTATATGTTGTTCCTTGGGTATGAATTAGTGGGGAAAAGTTTTGTTTCATCTTTGTACATGTCAAGCCGTTTGTCTGTAAGCTGTTTAAGGACAGCTTAGGAGACTCACCCTGTATAGGGTAATTAAAATAGAATGGTACAAAACTAAACGGTTGGTACATCTGTTTCCGTGATTTCAAACAGCCAATTGTCACAACAATGGAAAGGGTGTGTTTATAAGTTTGTCTAGACGAGGTTATGTTTTGTCTCAGCTGAGTACCACGAAGCCTGTTAACGAAATCGAAGAATATCAACAAGAATCGAAGCTATCATGGCAAAGATTGGTGAGTTTTGGCTTGTTAGTAAGCTTCAATGCTTGTCATAACTGCACTTTGTAAGGGTTTTGTCTCAAACGCTTGTGTAAATTCATTGACTGCGTTAAGTGAACAGGTAGTTAGTTCCCTACAAGCTTTGACTGTCAAGGTGCGTAATCTAGCTTTGATACTATTCACAGCGTCTGGCGGGAGGACGGCTCAAACTCTTCCTGGCACACACAAGCATCCAGTTGTCGAATTGCCTCATCCAACAAGCTGTGCATTTTCAACGAGGAGCTGCCTTTTTAAATTTGGTCCAAAGTTTCACAAAGGTTTCGCTGAACTCTATCAAAAGCATTTAGTAAGAGCAAATTATTGAACATGAAATGTTTTTTCTTGTTTTGTAGAAGCCATTTGTTGGAAGGCATCGTGGTAGCCCTATTCAACTAAGCAGCTAAGATATAAAATAACATTGATAAAAAAAATTTACAAACACACCCTTTCTATTCGTGTAACAATCAGCTGTTTGAAATGACGGAAACAGACATACCAACCATTTAGTTTAGCACCATTTGTTTTAAATAACCCTGTTACTTATAGCCTTGGCCGTCTTAAAAAAAAACCTGGATTCTTCTAATTCCATGATATAACAAATTGTACTAAATCCACTAGAACTCGCCCTAAGACACAATAAAAATCTCACCTCTACATTTCGAACAAACTGTATGAGCTACCTTGATTTAGGAAGAATTTTTGACATTTAACCTCTACTTAACAAATTGTTTGCATCTTTCCCTTGAACGAAAAGAAACAAAATAAATGCCAATCGTCGCTAGATATTAACGCTCAGTCAGATTCTATTTTCTTGTCTCATTTCAGTTCATTGTGCAAGTCAGTGGCAGTGGATTGTGCAATGGTTGAGATTCAGAGATTACGGATGAGAAAAATAAGAGGAAACAATGAACATTTGGCATGGATACTTTGTGTAAAATTAAGTGAGTTAAAACAATCAAGAAAAAAAAAAACGAATTGAGAAAGAGTTTCACGTATCACTTAGCTTAGCACTAATAATTTTTACAAACTAAGTTAAGATAAGCTTTACGACTGAAGTTTACTGTGTTCAGAAATTAAAAGGTTGAAGTGTGAGCTAAAGGATGCAGCCTAGAGGAGTGTGTGCTTAGATGGCCAAAGCAACAACCAGACAAAAGTATTGCAATAAGCGGCCCAATTCTTCAAGAAAAGTCCAAGCAATTAGCTACTGAGCTGGGACATGAACAATTCCGAGTTAGCAGCGGATGGTTGTGAAACTCAAAAAGAAAAATTACATTACGATACTCCCAAAAATATTGTGGTGAAAGTTCAAAAGTTGATAGTGGTGTTTGTTCCATGAGGAAAGAAAAGCTTTTCATGGCTCTAATTAGACTGGATATGAACCAAAATATTTACAATGCTGACAAATTGGACTACCAGATTAAGTCTTGACTACGGTTAAAAATTGGGAGTTGAGGGTATTCAAAAATATTACAGTGTTTGTTGGAACACTTCTTTTTATTTTAAGGTGATGCTGTACTTCTGTAATTTACTTTACCATTACAGTATGCATAATAGTTGCGATTTTATTAAAACCAAAGAGGGAAGCACTCTAACAAACTTATTTATTTCAAGTTAAATGGCCTTCTCAAGGAACACAACAACATCAAAATCCACAAAAACCTTCCCAGATCAGTAGCATCGTTTGCTTCAAGAGCAAGAACAGGACAGTTACACAATCCTATTTCTTTCAATTTAACCAAACAGAGTCACTCCTGAGTCTCGTTTGTCAATTGGAAGAAGAGACTCTAGAACACATCCTCCTGCATTGTCCCAGAAAGTCAGATGGGAGAGATGAGCTGAAGGGAAAACTCCAACCTGACTGTTCTCTCAAAAGATTCCTGACTGAGCCTAACTGTTGGAGATTAGCAAGCCATGTACATGAGAGACACCGTGTGGTCATCATCACTTAAAGCTGGAAGCACGCACCAAGAAGTTGTGGTTTTATAAATAGCCTACTACTGAACAATAACTTACATGTACACTAAACAAAAAATACACCCACCGCAGCAAACCTGCTGAAGCGAATTTCCATTTGCCTGATTTTATTTTCATCCATGTCATCTATTTTTTAAATTTAGGTTTAATGAGTACTGTAGGCTACCTAAGATTGTTTAAAACATCTACAATACCTATATACCGTCAACTTAAATATTGTGCCAATATTAACTTAAATATTGCCCCTATATTAACTTAAATATTGTGTTTTAACAAGGTCAAACCTCGACCCAGTGAAATTCCTGCAAACCTAACCCCAAAATAAGTCAAATGATTTTATAAACTATGTCATTACGAAGAAGCACTTACGGGAGTTTGTGTTGGCAATTTCGTTGATTTCATTGGGATCAAGCCACACCTTTTTTTTCCCACATCCCATAACAGAGGCGGCGAGCCTCTTCTGCAGCTTTAACGTACTGGAACATAGAAAATAGGATCAGTAGTGAGTAAATGTGGATAGCACATAAATTTGAGACATGCGAGTTATGTGACACTTTGTGTATTAACCAGGAGTCTTCTGCATTAAGTTACTTGTAAGTTTGGTGAAAAGGCAGGAGCCCCACGTCACCGAAAGTAGGCCTATTTTCAACTTAACTGTGTAACATTAATTTTACTGAGTTTTTGTTAGTTTCTACGTCGGTTTAACTGGAAAACCCGTTACCTATTCGGACTGGCCTCGGTCCCGATAAGAGGGAGTCTACTATGAATTTGAATGGAGGTTGTTTTCTCTAGGGACCTCATGAAACAAAAAAGTAAATTGGACCTGGGTCCAGGTCTTGAGAAAATCTATGGCAAGTAGAAGACCTAGATGGTACAGTAAGTTAATAGCTTTTTCGCTAATATGGGAAATTTGCTTAAAAGGTCAAGCAGTGTATTTCAGAAACAATGTTGCTTTTTAAAACTCTTGTCATTGATGTTATCTTCTATACCATATAAAATCTAATGTATGTATGTTAGTTGTTTGTTTGTCCTTTATGGACTCTGAATCCGCTTGACAGATTGTAATGAAACTGTCAGGCATTATCAAGCATTATTCAAGGATGGTTTGTGAGAAGTTTGGTACAGATCCGTCAAAAGGGCCCCGCCCCAGTGGCTCTGGAGTTTTTTTATGTTAACGTTATGAGTAGGCTACTCATATTTAAATTAAATTAAAGAATCTTAACAGCTGGTTCAACTAAACAATTTGATTCTGTGATGTTCAATAGCATTAAAAAGTTAATAGATTTACCAACAGGGTGCAGCACTATTATTACAACAGCTAATTTGCAACGAAAAGGTGAGTGAGCGTAAAGAACAAACTTCTACCTGGAGGCGAGTTAGCGTAGCAAAGCTAACCTGAAGGCAAGTGAGCGCAGCGAACAAACTCTAACCTAAAGGTGAGTGAGCATAGCGAAAGAACTTCAACCAGGACGTGATTGAGACATGTGAACGAGCTTATCTTGAAAATGAACGAGCATTTGACATAAACTTAAAACCACATTATGACAGGACGACGTCTGTCGGGCCAGCTAGTCATTAACTATAAAGGTAACCTAACTTACAACTAACTTACAAAGGCTAAAAACAAACCAGGACTACTTTACGCCTAACTTCTAACAATCAGAAGTTAAGTTACCTATGAAAATATTTTATAAAAACAATCCACAATTTCTTTAAAAATCTATTCTTAAGTTTAAGAACATTCAAGGCCTACCTACCTTTACATAACCAGAATTTAAAATTAATAAGTTAAGTGCATATGGGGAATAGGCTATCAAACAGAATTTTGAATTGTTTCAGCAAGTTTAATTTGTTAAGAACAATATTTATTTATCGTAGTTGTCAGCTGATAAGTTTCAATTTGTTAATATCACTATATAAAAAGAAATCATCGATAATAATGAATGTTCCCTTTAACAGAAAAGTACCTATACAAATTTGAACAAATGGTATTGGGCCTCTGGGGACATCAAAATTAAAAAAGTAAATCGGTCCCGTGCCTGTGACTTACCTAATAGCTACTTCCTGTTCCCAATAGGAAAATTCGATAAAACCGCTAAATTTGATACCGTAGCTATAAAATCGAGCTAGGCTCAACTTATAGGCCTACCTTGTGATACACAATATTTTAAAAGCGGACTATGGACCTCAGGGCGCAGCCCTAAGTTAGTATCACACTATAACTTAGGCTATATCACTATAAAAGTGCCTGACACCTACATAAAGAGAAAATCTTTGTGTTGCTAGCCTAGTTAGCCTAATTAACGTTTTGGATTTCGGTGCTGGGGGGTCAGGTTGAAATTCCCGGCACATGAACAAAACTGAAATGGGTTTGGACCGCTTTCCTTCAAGTAAAAAGCGTTTGAACAAACTTGGACCTCAATAAAGTTATAAATGCCACTGGGGTAGGTTTAGACAACTCAAATCTATGTTTAGGTGTTACTAACTACTAACCTAACCTAACCAATCCTAACCCAAAATAAAGCCCACATTCTACAATGGCTTAAGAGTTCACCCGCAATGCTAGCGCCATGCGGCAGTACATATGTAGCCAGCGGCCGCTTTTCCGGTGATATTTTACTTAGTAGTGGTCCGATCGTAATACAAATTTCATATTCTTGTTCAGGAGGAAATTCCGCACAATTTGAGTACCCACAACATGGGTTTTGGGCAAGAAATAATTTTTCCCGTTTTTCCCATTTTCCGGGAAAACGGGACGTTTCCGTAAAAAATTAATATCATTTTTGGAATCAGCACTAATAAACGAACAGATTTAAAAAAATTAATTTTTAGAGCGTTGACTGGAGGTTGACACAATTACCAAAATCATAATCACGAAAAATAAAACATCCCTGGAGGTTACTTCCGTGATGCGTGATGCGAGCTCTGGAAGGTTAATGCTGTCTGGGTCTAACATATAAAAATTCTCAAGAGTGTTTCGAAGTTCAGTGATTTGGAATCTGTAAATAGCCTAGGCCTTAGGATAGTTTGGTAGGGACAATAAGTAAACCTGACATTTAAGGCTAAGTTGATGAAGCCAAGGCCCAAACTTAAGTTACTAGACTTGACTCAGTTACATGGGGTGGGAATGTACATTATGATCAATAAATATAGGCCTACTTCATACTGGACAAAATAAAGGTTCGGGATGAATCTAGCCCAGTTAATTGTTCTCTCTCAGGCTAGGCTCTGCACCCCCCCCCCCCTTAAATCTTGAAGAAACCCTTTACTCTTTCAAAATATTGTTTTTAACAATATGTAGTAATTCAGCTCGATATTCTAGCAAATTGACTGCCTGTTTCCCAATTTTTAAAGTGAAAACATTTGGCAGGCCGTACGGCTACGTCGACACCTGGTTGAGAGACTGGACATTTAACGAGAAGTTTCACTTTTGGAGGGTACAAAATGTTCGTAACTTGCTGAGGCTTAGCATAAGAGTTAATATGTTTTGTCGTCGATGTTAACGTTTCATTATAAGATTCATATTTTATAAAAATAAGTAAATTTATTAGAAAACAACGTGGTCTTACCTCATGGCTACACTACTTCGGGAGCATAAAGGAAATTGAACACAGGCTGTTCACCGTTCAACATGAAATATACAGGTGTGGCAACAGTATTTCACGTTTTGGTATGTACACGTATAGTGTATGTATGTAAGAACTGTTTTGTATGTGATCTCCCCTTCCACTAAGGTGATCTCCTATCTTATACAATAGATGATGAACTCCTATGATTAAAAGGATTTATTTGTATAATCAATCACATGTATTATTAATCTCATGACTCTTTGAAGATTTATAATCAATGATAGTAACAAACATGTTTTGACACCTAGGACAAATTTAACTACACTATTAAAATGTTTAGTAGCATTCCGTAGCATTCCCGTATAACGTTTAAATGTTTACACAAATTTAGGTTACTCTTGTGTACCACAGCTCTTTGTTGCTAGTTGGTTAGAACATAGATAAAACATAGAATTAGCTGTAGCATTGACTATTATTAATTAGTCAAAGGCTGTAGTCATAAATGCAAAAAAATAATATAAGTCAATAAGTCATTTATTGGGCCAAATTGACAATACTTGCATTAGCCAAGTCAGTACAAGAAAAATAAATTTATTACATCTTAATAACAAAATTCCTTACTGTAAAAAATTCTATAACTAAATAACTAAACATGCGCACATGACTTTGTGAATGACCACTAAAGTAGAAATTCACGGACGCTGTAAAATGATCTATCTAACAACATGGACTTTAGAATCAGAATCAGAATGTTTTTATTGTCCTTCAGCATTACAATCGTGCAATAGACAAAGTCAAAAATTTGATACATAACAAAATTAGGCTATACAATCAGAGTCAATGTTTAAATTTTAACAGTTTTAACATCATAAAACTCACTAAGGCCATAAAAGGGGTTTTTACACAGCTAGTCATATAACCTTACTTTGAATACTTTTTGGTCCAGGGATTTGCTGCTTTCATCTAGCTTATTAAACAACTTAAGGCTAACAATATTAAAGCTACTTTGACATTTACTTAACCTACTGTATGGTAATTCAAGTAAACCTCTGGTATAGTGCTCATGTAAGTCTGATCTAAAAACTAAAGAACCTATGCTATAATCTTTTTTTACATGTACTAAACAAACAAATATATACAGATTTATCACAGTCAAAATTTTACTATTACTAAACAAGGGTTTACAATGATCGGTAAAATATGCCTTATTGATTATTCTGAGAGCCTTTTTTTGGATTAATAAGACTTCACTAACATGACAACTATTTCCCCAGAGAATTAGGCCATAATTTATCACAGACTGGAAAAATGCGAAATAAGCTATTCTTACACGAATCAGGTACAATGTTCATCAAGGACTTAAGCAGGAAAATTACTCTAGACAATCTTACACAAACAGATTCAACGTGAGCCTCCCATGATAGCGAACTGTCAACTACAATACCAAGGATTTTAATGTTATTTTTGTGTTTTGATGACTAGTTTTAAGTGTACAGAGGAGATTCTGAGTCTTATCAATGTTCAAGAGAAGGCTGTTTGAGCTAAACCACATTTTAGCTCTGTCTAGAGTACGTTCTACCGTTCTACCTTTTAATCTTAACAGGTCAGAATCTATAGAATTTAGACCTGTTCTGAACTTTTTTGGATCTTGTGCTGTTGGATAATAGTGCTGTACCCTGTTGGTAAACCTTATAACTTATTTAATGCTATTCACGTTCGCTGCTGCAATAGTACGACATTTTTCTTTCACATGGAACAGCGACGCACATATGCGACGGCCGGTTTCTACCAAGGCCTCGCTGGAAAATCATTAGAAAAAAGTTTTTATAGTGGAGCCTTGTTTCCACCTATAGACTGCCGTCGCATATTTGCGTCGGGGTTCTAATGTTATTAAAATGCTTATATATCTTTGTAACGGTCTATTTGAAGACACTGAATTCCCTGCAGTGGTCTACGGATATGTCTGACGCACAACTGCGTCGCTTATGGTCTGTGGATATGATGATTGATGACGTCATATGATAGTTGGAAAAACTGGTCTTTACTTTTCTGCATCACTTTATGTACAGTATGTATCGTATGTATGCTTGCAGTTCAGCAGTGTATGCTGCATTCCTATGTAGCTTTTATATTTGTTCAGTTATAAACTGTTCTTGAATAATCTGTTTTTTACTTACTTTCACCTCAAAACACAAACAAAAATGAACTGTCGCATATATAAGGCGTTTGGGCTATTTCAAGAAAACTATATGATAATATTCACTATTGTCTTCGCTGTAGACCGGGCGTCGCAAATATGCGACATTACAAAAGGTTATCAAAAAACAAGAATAAATCATTTACAAACACGATTGCAGCGTATTACCACAATGTAAATGATTTAAGTTTTACAGGTTTTCGCCCGTGTTCTTGTGTGTACTGTCATAGATAAAAGGAGTATAAGACAATCTATGGTACTGTTAACCAAATGACCGCCGGTCTATGTGTAAGATTCAAATGTAATGTATACCTCGGTCTGTGGCACGAATACTAGAAATATTTCTCTTTTCTCTAGTATTCGTGGTGTGTGGCAACATAGATAAACCATACTCCCTTAGTAGATTTCTCATCCTTATGGAACAGCTGAAGACAATTTTATTGTTAGTTCTGTACGGTTTTCTGCAGATGTCGTGTTTTGTTTACAATTTGTTTCCCGTTATTACAGCCATTTAAAACCTCGTTTAACCAAATAATACGATCTAATCATAAACAATAACTTGTCCCCTAGTTATATAACCAAACAGTAAAGCACAAATCAAGAAATTAACCCTAAAATAATAGAAACAAAGTTTCGTCAACACTAGCGCCCAGTGTCACGTACATGAACTAGACACGAAAAACGTGCTTCAAAATTTACAATGGGATGAGAAGTCTACTTGTGTTGGTTAGGTTCCGACCTCTACAGAAAACCGTACAGAACTAACAATAAAATTGTCTTCAGCTGTTCCATAAGGATGAGAAATCTACTAAGGGAGTATGTTTTATCTATGGTGGCAATGACCGTGGCGTCACATATATGCGACGCTGAACGTGTTAATAATATAGAAACCACTTAAGACTGAGTGCCAAAACATAATTATCCGTTGAGTTATTTTTCAATACTAAAATAAACATTTGGGTAAATAAAGTTTATAATCAGTAGTATATAATCAATGGTATACTAATTTAGTAGTGGCAATAGAAGAATATTAAGGCACTTGGGGCGTTTTTCCCCATAAGAATAACATGGGGATCATTTTTTGGCCACCAAAACCAAAAATCCTGATCTTTGCCTATACATCCCCTATACTACTGTACAACTTCATTAACATTACAAATCAACATATATTTTCAAATCATGTGAGATTTGCAGCAGAACTCAAGCGCGCTCCCGGCCCATGCTTCTCATCTCCAGCGGTGTATAGTAGTATAGTTTGTCGCTGCCGTTTTTTGGGGCGCGAGGTTTTTGGGCCAACTCTCCGCCCATGCCTAATTGCTAGTACATCTACCATTCCCCTTTCTAGTTGATATGTTGATATATTGTTGTCTATATTTCTGTCTTATCTATATATATTAGTTGTATGAGTTGTTTAATATTTTCATTTCTTTGTATTTTGTGATATACCTCTTAAACTTGCTCTTGGGGCCTATACAAGCCTATATAAATGTACAACTCCATATCTATATTGTATAATTTCAAATCCATGTCCAACACCCATTCACATGTATATTCTCAAAATCGAGCGAGGTTTGTACGTGAACTCGGGCGTGCTCACGGCTCACGGCGCGCTCCCTTGGACATCCTTAGTGGAAATCCATGAGTTCTGGCTACTTGGGAATCCAAGCCATTTGACATACAATAAATCACCCTTCCTCCTAATTACCTTTTCTATCAAATACATGTCTTTATATTTGGTCTTTAACAACTCCTCTGTATAGAAGCCTCCCCTGATTATATTGCCATTTTCATCTTTCAAGATATAAGTCACAGGCTTTGTATTCTTAACTTCTGCTATTGTAAATAGTTCCCCTGTCCAATTCGGAGTGTAACCTTTACTAAAAACATGTTTATACTTGGAAATCCTCACACTATCACCTACCTTAAATCTTGGTTTTTTAACTTGCACTACTTTAGAAGTCAACCTCTCATGCACATATTTACTATTCTTAATATTTACTTGGTTAGGCTTCATACCTATAGATCTATGCACCTTATTATTATATTTTCGAATTAACTTTGGAAGTAAATCCAACCATTTATAACTTCCCTGAGCACTAAATTCCCTATATAACCAATTCTTTAAAGTTCTCTGAAACCTCTCCACAATTGCAGCCTTAGTTGTAGAAAAAGTGTGATAGTGATTAATATTTAATTGTTTCATTAGTTTGCTAAAATATTGATTAAAAAATTCTTTTCCATTGTCAGATTGAATGCTTTTAACCCCCTTTGGTAGAATGGTTTTAATGGCTTCTGTAACCACCAAACCCGTCTTATTCTTTAGTGGAGCAGCATAAGCTTTTTTAGAAAATGTATCTATTAAAGTTAAAATATATTTATTGCCAGAATTCTCTCTAGCATAGTTTTGCATATCAATTAAATCTATTTGTACAGTTTCGTTTATACCTAATACTTTAAAAGACCTTCTAATGAAATTCTTTCTTGCAGGCTTATGAAGTTCGTATGCAATTTCATTCATTTTTTATAACATCACTCTTTCCTTGTACTGTAAATATATTACCATTAGCCCCAATCAATAGATTATCTTCCATTCTTTTAAATACATAGTTTTCTGGTATATATGGTCTATTATCTATATACTTAAATCCACTCAAAGATGTAGGGTCGGCAACTAATAAATCAGGATTGTATTCCATCAAATTAAATTTTCTTCCTGCATATACAAATTTTGATCCATCATAATACATAGCTTGTGACATTAAACAAATATCATCTAAATATTCCCCCTTTGGCAGATTCCTTATAAATTGTTTTTTGGCATCCCAACATTTTTCTTTTTTATCAAAAGTTATAGTCTGTTCTTTTGTAACACAGTCAGTGTCATCAACGGCGGG